AATATTTTATCTAACAAAGTAGCACTATATGGAGTAAAAAGAACAATTTTGCAGGCAGTGGAAAAAGCACTGGATTTAGAGTCTGCCAGGCTCAGGGACATTAACTTGCAGTGAGATTTTATTGTGTTTCAGTTTCCATTATTGTAATACTTACATTGCAGGACTGTGTGAAAGAATTCAGACACTGCATGTATAACAAGCAGTGCAGTGCCTAGCCCAGGATCGGAGCTCAGAAAGTAGTATCCCATACCCTAGCATCCTCATGTTTCTCTCTGGTAAATTTGGGATCATTATGTTACTTTATAAAGTTGTCATGAGGTTTAAAGAAGGATTAATGTGCATAAAATTCTATACTTAGCAAAGTGTCTTATACGTAGCAGTTCTTGGGGAGTATTTTGTTTTTGCAAAAACATCAGAATTTATGTCCAGATTGGGTTTTCAAAGTTCCCATAATAATATCTGAAAAATATTATCTACTTGGAATGTTTAAGACCCTGCTAAGTACTTTATATGCCTTAGCTCACTGAATTCTCAGAACACTGAGATAGGTTCTATCATTGTCCCCATTTTATAGATGTGAAAAGTGAGACTCAAAGAATTTCTTTAACAAGGTCTAATACCTGCTATGTGTTAGAGATACGAAGCACAAGTTTTTCTCCTTTGAGAATCAGGTCATAACTCATGCTCCTGTTCTATCCTCTAAAAGCTGCTTTACTTAGAACATCCTTCTTTACAGAAACGGTGTTCTGTGAAAATGGGACTTTTATTTTACAGTCTCAGCTCACTTCTGATCCTGAATTGGTATTCATCCTATTTGACTCTAGATATTGTTTATTTACTTCCAAAATCCCAAACTATCGCTAATGATCGACTTCACAAAGGATACTTAAGATACTAAGTGAGGTCTCTGAAGACTATTCTCAAATCTGAGATCACAGACTTTAGGAATTAAGGTGTAGCCTTCCCCTCCCCCTCTTCTTTCCTCTACCAAGTTACCAAATTTAGAGATGAGTTGTGGAATGAAAGAAGATGTACTGATAGTCATCTTTAACATAAAAAGGGAGTTCAAAGGGAATTTACATTGGTTGATTATTCACTATTCATCAACCTCTGTATTTACATCTTATTTTATTTGATATAACCTGAAGCAGTGTTTTATTAGAGAAAGCATAAGTGACAGTAGAGAAAGCATAATAAGTGACAGTAGAGAATCAGATGCAGGTCCATGTAACAAAAAGCACATTCTCTTCCCACTCTACCCCATTGCAACAGTGGATTAGAGCACTGAGAGCTCTCTTGGTTTCTTGGGCCAAAAAAGCAACCCTGACTTCCTGTTCCCACTCACCCTCCCTGGTTTGTTGTCAGTCATATTGCAAATGCATCTTCTTGGTTATAAGGCTGATGGGCGAAACTGAGGCCTGCAACTGGAAAAGTAACTCTGATACGATTCACTAATGACAGTAGGGTCAGTAGTGCCATTGCTGTCCAGAAGAATAAGCCACCGCAGTTCTAACTGCCTCTTTTCAAGATGAAGCGCATCCTGCCAGGACCACTGTCCTATCCCAGTCAGCAGTGCTCAGAGTAAGAAACAGGAATGAGGAGGACAGAGGTCCTGAACCGCTTTGTATAATGAGGACAACAAAGATGATGCTTTCTTTATATAAAGCTAGGTGTGCACAAGTTTAAATATATGTGTGTGTATATTTTCTTGGCTCTGGGAAGGGTGGTGTATGTTTCTGAGCAGCTTTATGCAAAGGAATCCAGCATTTAAGTTTTATCCATGTCAGTCCCTGTTTGCTTTCAGATATCCAGGAATGGTTTTCAGAGTATTTGAGAAAATGAGAGGTGCAGATGGTTTTCACTGAGGCATGGTTTCAAATTTAAAGAGGATTATGGCCCATGAACCCCAGAAATGGTGGGTAAAGGTGTGAACCTTTGAAATTCCAATTACAAACCAGTCTAAGGAGGTATATACTTACCAGAGCACAATATGTCATTGTTAGCATATTTTTTTCTTGGCCAAAGGAGACGGGGAGGAGCAGATACATAACATAATCTTCAAATGAAACTGAAGCAGCAATTGATGGCAGCAGTTTGGACTCTCTGGTGAATTCAGTCAAGAAAGAAATCCCCAGCTGTCTACCAATGCAGTTAGCTTAGCTTGTTGTAATAATCTTTATTCTTTGCATCTGCAGAGCTGAGTGTCTACACAAATCAGCTTCTGCTGGGAGAGCTCTTTGGTCATCTTGACACACCCACCCCTTTATTTTACAAAGGATGGCACTAAGGTCCAAGATAATAGCATCAGTTATTAGGAGAGAAAGCTCTGGAACCCAAAGCCTCCTGGAACTGAGGCAGTTATACATCAACTCTAGGCTTTTACTAGCAGCTCATATTTATTGAGTGTTTACTATATGCCAGACATAGACGATGGACGGCGCTACCAGCCCAGTGAAGGTGACAGATGCTAGATGACAACTTGTAACAGAGGGGAGAATAGAATAAATGCAAAAATCTAAGTCTGAATTTGTTTTCAGCATAGAGGAAGGCCTTCTTGGCACTGGGTGTTATGTTATGAATGCTCCGTGGGGTAGCATGGGGTTCCCGAGGCTCAGAGAGCTTAATTAGCCCAAACTCATAGGGGACATGTTTGTTCCAAGTCACAGAATTTTCCAGGTGCAGGGAAACTTTGTTAGATTATGGGGGGGTGGCATTTTTCTCCTGTGTAGGTGGCTTATACTTCAAAAGACCACGTTCTGTCTACTACTGAACACAAGCAGGTGCCCTCCAGGTACGGCTCTTCAGCTACCTGCTATCTCTATCTGCCTTTCTCCCCTAATCTTCAAACTTGGGGTGTCCTAAACCAAGCTTTTAAAGTGCTAATGAGAAGAAAGTGGGTACCTGTTTATTGACTAATTTTTTTTAAAGAATGTCTCTTGAAGGTGGTTTCTCAATACTTCACTTTGCCAGGGAAGAATATTTATTCCTGTACAATCTTGTAAGGACAAGATTCTTCCTTTAGTGAGCTGGAACATTTGCCAATCTGAAGCATGGACTCTTAGAGGACATTGATGAGCATCTCGCTGGAGGCCCAAGTTCAGTACAGCCAATACAGGGAGATAAACATCTCCTACTTTCGTAATGGCTTTCCTGTGCACAAAGTACTTTCTCATCAATTATCATTTAGCTAAACATAACAGCCTCTTTTGCCTTCATGAGGGCCCAGGATCCCATAGGCAACCAGGATATGTGTGGCACATCCCTCTCATTCTTTTCTCCTTAACATGTGAACTTGTCAGAAAGGTCTTTGAACATTCTTTATACTGTAGTAACTTCATCACTTTTTGACTTTATATTTGCTCCACTTTATATATTTGTCAGTTGTCTATTTCCCCACTAGCTCCGTGAGAGCAGGGACATGGTCATTACTGAATCTCCAAGGCACCTAATGGTGCTTAGTAAATCATTTGTTGACGGTTGATGAGGTGACACATTTTCATTTGACAATCACTCTGCTACTTCTTGGGCCCAGGGCTAAGACAAAATCTCTGTCTTGGGGCAGTCCCGTGTAGTCAAGGGTAAGGACCAGAGGACAGACATAACCATACAAGATGGCAGAAGCTCAATCCTGGGGCAGGCTGCAGGGCCAGCCTCCCACTCTGAGGGAGACCAGCTACCAGGCGGCTATCCAAGGCTCCAGTGATTTGAATGACAGGTACCAATCCTGCGGTGCTTCCTAAAGGCCTAGGTCTTTTTAAAAACCCAATTTCATCCTCAATCAATGGTGAGAAATTAAATAGATTGTTTGGATTAAGTAGATTGAGCTAGTTTTAAAAATAGCCATCTACTGGGGCCGAGGAGTGAGCTATCTGTTGGTACTTTTTCCAGTGAAATTCGGCATCTACTTAGCGGTGAACACCATTTGCAGCTAGTGTGATGCTTTTTACACTCCCTGACCCTTTTCTCCAGGTTAAAAAAAAAAGTGCAAAGGAAAGATTAGAAAATTGTAACAAAAATACCAATTCATTTGTCTTCACTCTGCATTTTTGCGACCTAAGCACACTGCACAAAACTCACCTTCCAAGGGCGACGAGCGCCCTGCCAAGGGAGGGAGCGAGGCCGGCAGGCGAGGAGGGCGGGAGCGCCCGGGCGAGCGGGCAGCTGCAAGCCCGCGCCCCAGGAGGCCGCCCCTGCGCCCTGCGCCCCGCGCCCCCTGCGCTCGGCCCGCAGCCCTCGCAGCGGGAGGCGGCTCGCGCGGCCTCGCTTCCTGCACCCACACGGGACTAAAAGAGAACACGCACAACTTTTTTTGGTCCCCCTTCTTGCAAAACGCTCGCGTAACCTCGAGCTCGCCCAAGTACCCGCTCCGGGGGCGGCTCGGGGGCGCGGCGCGCGCGGGCGAGGAGGCCCGAGGCGGCGCGGGCGCGGGCGGGGGGCTGGGCGTGCGCGGCGCGGGGCGGGCGGGCCGCGCGGGGGGCGGCGCGTGCGCAGAGCACTTCCTTGTTTGTCCCCGTGACTGGAGCGGGAGCGCCGCCCGCCCGCCCGCCCGCGGGAGTGTGCGCTCAGTCAGTCGGGCCCTCGCCGCCGCCTGTCAGGGCGTCTGAGGAGGCAGCGCCGACCGCCCAGAGCTGCCCGGCCCGCGGACGCCCCGGCGGCTGGCGCAGCCCAGACCCGACCCCGCGCCTCCGCTGCGTGCCCTCCCCCGCCGCCGAGGAGCCGCCGCCGCCGGCATGAGCAGAGGGAGGCGGGTCCCGGAGAGCCCCCTGCCTCGCGCGCGGCTCGGAGTTTGAAGGGCCCCGCGCCGAGCGCCGCAGCCGCCTGCCTCTGCCCGCGCGTCTTCCCGCCGCCGCCGGGGACAGGAGCTGCGCGCCAGGCCGGGCTGCAGGCGGCGAGTGCGGGCTGCGCGCGGGGCGTTCATGAGCCGCCGGGCGGCCCGCGGCCCCGGGAGCCTGCGCCGTGACTCACCCCCCGCCCCCGCTTGTGTCTCGCCCCCCCGGCAGGATGCCGGACCAGATCTCCGTCTCCGAGTTCATCGCCGAGACCACCGAGGACTACAACTCGCCCACCACGTCCAGCTTCACCACGCGGCTGCACAACTGCAGGAACACCGTCACGCTGCTGGAGGAGGTAGGTCGGCGCCGGGCACCCCGGCCCGGCTGCGAGGGCGCTCGCTGTCCGCGCTCGCAGCCGCTGCCTCGCGCTTGGATTGACTTTTGCTTTCTGAGCTGGGGAGGGAAGGGGGTGTTGGGGGCCGAGGGAGCCACACCCCCTCCGGCAGCCCCCTGCTCGCAGGTGACTAGGGAACTTCAGACGCGCGGTCCCCTTTCTCATTTGCCCTCCTTCTCCGGGGTTTTGCGGGCTTAATGGTCGGGGAGAAGCCTGGGCGAGCTCTGGACACTCGAGGAAGGCAGAAGAGGGAAGTCTTCTCCCTATGCTGCGGTGCTCAGCGCTTCCACATCGTTCTGACCCGTGAAGTGTAGGTGGCGTCAGGCCACTGAGGGCACAGAGGCAAAGTAGCGTGGCCAAGGTCACCAGCAAGGGACTGGGAGATGGGCAGTGAAGGCACCTCTGCGCGGCCTGGCTGGGCCAGGCAAGCTTAGCTGCGGAGGCAAGGGCCGGTGGAAAAATCCCATAGGAATATGAGGGATCTCAGGCTGGGACTGCCTCCACCCTGGGACTCCTCCCAGGCGCTTAAAGCCCAGGTGGAAAGAGATCTGTGCAGATACGTCCGGCTCGGCTCTCCTCGCCCTGGGGATTTATTAGGGCTCAGGCTGCTGCGCCAGCAGGACCTGCCCGCAGGGCACTCGCAGACTGTGAAGGAAGATCTGAGGTCAGTGCAGCCTGCCTGAGCCGACGAGAGAGGGAGAAGGGAGGCCCTCGAGGCTGCAGTGCAACAGCTCCTCTTATCTGGGCACTCCTGGAAAGCGTTGGAGGGTGTCCTGGGGGGTGTCTGGGGGCATGGCCAAGGGCAAAGCAATTTCCTTTTAAAATTTTAAGTGTATTGGTAGAGTGGGATGTGTAAGGAGGAACCCAAAAGCCCAGGAGCTGCAGAAGCCCCTGGAGCCTCAATAAAAATGGGCTATTTGCCCTGGAACTCAGCACCATCTCTAAGTGTCATAAAGCATCACTCCAAACAAGCCAAAGGTATTTATTTCAACTGAGAAACAGGGTGGAAGTTAGGAAGGGAGATGATTTTCCCTGGGTGGATTATCATGTAGTGGGTCTATTTGAGGTTTGAGAGGCTCATTCTGATTTAAGCCCACCAAGACCAGCCTTCTGTAATATTGGGAAGATAGGGTTTCTGTGGGCAGACTGCTCTTGAAATGGGCTTTGATACTTAGGTTTTGATACATGTAGAACTAGTATTCAAAAGTACAGACAGGGGTCCTAAATTTTAGAAGAGGGGAAAATTCTGTTAGCGCTGGGTCCCATCTTGCTTGTCTACCTGGTGCTTTAAATTAACCTGGATGTTTCATTTTAGTTGGGGATGCTCTTAGAGTTCTCTCTGGAGTCAGTATTGGGAGATTGAAGTGAATTTTAAAGTCATTGGAGAAATACCACCTAACTAGGTTTGTTTGAACGCTAGAGATAAATGGATTTGGGGAGGGTGTGCCTTTGTGAACTGTCAGTCTGTTGCAGTAGCCTTATGGTTAGGAGTAGCCAGGTATTCAACTCCATGATGAGGCTGTCCATTACTTAATTGTAAGATATTAGAGTAGACTGATTTAGGGCATTTTGCATCCTTTTTCTGTACTAATTGTATATACTTCTAAAGGATCTGACATTGCTTAGACTGAGTGGTTATTTTCCTTCTAGATAAGTTCTTCAGTCCCTACTAATAGAGCTGTCAGTTCTCTTTCTGCACATTCAGATAGTGTTACTGTATTCTGTTTGCAGGATGTGATAAGAGTATTTGGTGATGCTCTTTGCAGGGATATGTATACATATTTTGCAGTAACCTATAGGATAGGGTTAATTGTAAATTACATAAAGCTGCTATTGATCTTGGTTCAGGATAACTAAATTTAAAAGCAAATGCAACAGATAGATTTTTTTTTTTTTTTTTTGGTGAAGAATAGTGTTTTGCAAGGTTAGGTAGAAAAAGAAAAGTAAATTCAACCATAGTGCAAGTCTGGTCTCTTATGAACTTGAGAAGGAATCGGAACCAGGCTGGAAGTTCAAAAGTGTCATGTTAGAGTACATTGATAATGCTCATCTTCTCAAAAATATAAAAGTAAATATCTGATCCAGGATGGCACAGTAATTTTGTAATTCTTTTTCTGAACTTGAGTATTATTGGTCAAGAAATCATTGTCCCGAGCCTGTATCTTTTAATTCTTGAATCGTATTCCATGAGGTTGGACTCCTTGAGTGGTTTCTTTTTGCATGACTGTGAAATGTATGCTTTAACTTTTTACTGATGAGTAACCACCACAATTGAATTTTTATTTTTCCCCTTAAGTTTACATATATGGAAGTGGTACATTTTATAAATTTGTTAAGGTGGATCACAATTCAGTTCTTTAAAAATATGGAGCTTATGGTTAACCTCCTTTCTCCCCCAAATGTAAGGAAAAATTTGGGGGCATACCACAAAATCTTGTTGGCATATACTTTACAAGTGAGATATTTGGAAACTTTAAGAATGTGGCTTGTGTTATTTTGTGGTTATTCTTAGGAAGAGAACTTTTGGGTACTTTTTTGATGATGTGGAAATTCTGGAACAGGAATTAGTTTGAATGACTTGGAATTCTCTTTTTAAAAAAGTATTTTCCCAGTTCTAATAATTAAGTACCATCCTGTTTATGACCTTTTTTGTCCTTTGGATTACTACTTAACATATATAGAACTTAACTGAAGCACTGTGTGAGATCTCCAAGCTCTGAGCCCCAAGTTAACCCACACTCTCCCTTTTGCTATCTGTCCTTGGAGAAGAGTGTGCTGTGTTGTGCAGATGTTGATGCTTTTATTTACATCTCTCTGTGATGAGCACTTCAGGAAATGGATTAGAAATATATGTTAAGAAGAGGCAAAGAGTTTACTTCTGGGCTTCACCTTTGGGAGCAAACGGTTGCATGTGGCTGTGGGAGTCATGGTTTGGCTGGCACTCAGTGAGTGGCTGCCTTGAGGAGGCAGGAATGGATCAATTGGTATTCTGCCAAGGTTTCATCCTGATGTGTGTTTTCCAAGCGAAAAGCCAGTGTTTTGCTTATTCAGCAACCAGAGCACACTGATGTGTGCCATTTTACTTGTGACCATTTGGAAGTTATGAGTAAGTAACTGGGAGAAGGCAGGGTTTTCCTGAGAAGGGAGCAGGGAGGCATTTTAGGACCTGTGTGGGAGACAGTAGGAGTGAATCTCCACTAAAAGGTTTGGAGCAGCTAATATTTAATGCCTTTTGAAAGAGGGAGAGTCCAGCATGATAAATGAAGGTATGCTTGGTTATTTTATATTGGCCAGCTCTTTATTTTGGTAACGATAGATGAGGCATGTTCTGCCCATTTATTGACCAGCTGCTCTGTACCAGGCCTGTTGTGGGTAAATGACATGCATTATCACACTTAACCCTCATATGAATTCTGCAAAGGAGGGATAGTCGTTATCTCCATTTTACAGAGAAGAAAATTGAGGCCCTGAGAAGTGAAACGATTTGTCTCTTAAGGTCAAGTGGCTAGTAAATAAAATGGGGTTTGGAAATCCTTCAGACAGTTAAAACATAAAATAGACTTTCTGAGTGTCTGCAAAGACATATTTGAATGGCTTTGTAGAGAACATAGGAGGCTTCACTTTTGTTACACCTTATCATTTTGGTCTCATGAATCAGGTGCCTACGTTCCTTAGAGGCTCAGTGTTTCTTTTAATGCCCACATTTTAGGGAGATCTTAATAGTGATACTTAAATATACTACTGTTTTTTCCAACGATGCTTTGAAAGATTTGGATATGGGTTTTTTCAGATTTAAATGTAGGAACTTCTTTGAGCGTAATCCATAAACAACATTCAGTCACATTTGGGGGAAGCATCTGCTATGTACAAGTCATTTTGCCAATCCCTGCTGAAGTGTTGGGGTTATCACCTGGATTGTAATATGGAGAAGCTAATGGTCTTTGAGAAAGAAAGAAGGCTATAACTCTTAACAAGGTAGAAGGGGCAGTTCATAGGTAGGGGAAATAGTATAGAACATTCATCCCAGGAATATGAGCTAAATCACTCAAATTACCATCCAGTCAGTATACAGATTGCTCAGAGCCTTGTACGTGCCTAGTAGTGTGCTAGGCCCAGGGATACAAAGATGAAAAACTCTTCCCCCTGTAAAAAAGCAAAGTATGTAACCAAAATGTTTGTACCCCTGTAATATTCTGAAATAAAATGTTAAAAGAAAAAAGATAAAACTCTGCCCCCAAGAAGTATAGTCTAAAGTTTTTCTTAAGGGAACTGGCAATCAAGTGTGAGTTAGGTATTAAAGGATTGTCTTAACATATTCAGATGATGTGTTCAGTCCTTTCTGAAGGGATAGAAACATTTCACTGCATGAAGAAATGAATGAAGATATGGAATGTAGCAGTAACAGTAAGAAAAGTCATCAGTTATTAGTGTTCCTACTATGTGCAAGGCGTATCACATACTATTATTTAATTGCTTCTGGGCCTTTGGCTAAGATCAAGTGCATACTATTTAATGTGTATCTTCACCCTACTATTATCATTGGCCCCATTTTATAAGTGAAGAAATTGAGGATTGCAGCAGTTAAGTATTTTGCTTAGGGTCATAGAACCAGTAAGTAGTGGGCTTGGGATAAATCTCCCTTCTGTAGAGTGCTCATGCATGTCAGTCAGACTTCATCTGTGTGTGTTCCTTCAGTCTCCATGTAAGTTTTAACTTTTATCCACGTGCTTTTGGGTGCTTTCCCCCATGCTGATGACTAGAGGTCATCAGTCTTTGATAAATGCTCTTAGGTCCTCAAGTATTCTGCAGAATCATAGACATGGGAATTCTGTGGCCAGGGCTTGACATCTCATCTTGTTCATCTGCTCCCAATGTTCTAGAATGCAAGTGCATTTCCTCTTTTAAATTTTGAAAGCTGATAAACTTAATAGGAAGTGCTACTTTATATAGCAGATGCTAAA